TGAGACGTGAGAGGCCGCCGATTCGGAAACGATATCCTTGACAAGTCGGTCGAGGAGTTCTGCGCCGTTTTTGACCGACAATTCGGAGTCGGAAGCGAGCTATGGATCGAGACGGGCAATAGTAAGCAGGCAGAAAACCCAACCCCATCGACAACGAGCACTCACCTTGCTCAACGCATCGAAGATCTCGTTGAAGAAGAGTAGGATCTCCCCTTTCGCAACCTTGGCAATGTTGTACATGCTCTCGCAAGCATAGTACCGAACGCGCGCATCTTGGTCGGAAAAGCATGCAAGCACCGGCGGTACGATCTCCTTCAAGTACGGTGCAACACCTTCCTATATAGTAATCCAACAGTTCAGTACCTATACCGCGGACATCGAGTATGCATTGCCGGGGGGGACTCACGGATCCCAACGCTATCGAAGCGGCAGCGAGGCCTATCAAGCCGCCATTTCTGGCATGGGGCTGATGCACGGCGTAGGCATAATCGTGACAGAGCTGGTCGACGATCTTCTGAATCTCCTCGTGCTCCCCCCTGAAAGCGGCTTCGCGAACGACCTTCTCGAGCCTGGTAGGAGAAATCGCATGAGTTAGTCTTGACTACCCGTGTTGATTGCGACTAATCTGGCCTCTCTTATCGATAAAAAAAAAAGTATCCATACTCCAAGGCTCCCTGTTTCCTCCGGTCATAGAGCTTATCGTTCAGCGAACGTTGGATTGAGTGATCCATCGCTCCGATTCCCATAAAATCGAACGACTGATTAAGCTCCGGGGGCCGGTTTTAGATGGTTTTCATGGTGTGCAAGCGTCGTTCTGGCTAGGCTGGGCGGTGAGGCGGTGGTGACTCGCCAGGAAGGAGGAGCTGTAAATGAACTAGTATGTAAAGTAGGTTAACGTTAACTAGCAAGCCAACTAACTTATTCTTCCCAAGCCATCAGTCGCAAGTTGGCACGGCTTCTTCCTTGTTGAGGAAAGTTCAAGTGGCCCCTCGCGGTCCCTTTGCTTATACCGATAATTAGCCTTGTCGCTCGGCAGTAGGCACGATGTCAATAACAATGTGGGGAGCTCTCACAGGAAGATGCGTTGGCACAACGTGGATAACTCAAGTTAGTTAGCGGATGCGATGTGACGTAGTGTCAGCACTCGGCACCGCCGACTCCTTACCGCCTAATCAATAACTACAGTGTGTTTTCATCCTTGCCCAATATAACCACTGCTTAATCCCACTTACAATAATGGAAACCATGCTTCTGGTACATTAGTGTAATGGCATTAAATCATCTATTTGAGAGGCTCGTTCAATGCACGCTAAGACATGACAAGATAAAATCGTGCTCGCTATCCATCAAAGACTCAATGACTGATATACTGGAAAACCGCAGAGACATCTCTTTCCCCAGTCTCCTGTCGGATCAGCAAGTCCTGGATCTTGCTGAGGTGGCCAGTCTCTCCATCGTTCACAAAATGGTTCCAAGTACTGGTGTCACCGTACAGCATGGCAGCGGCCTTAATGTACTGTGTCCCATCGGGCCGACAACGCTTGCACTTGAAGGTATCATGTGTATCACTTCTAGTGTCCGGTTTGAATTGGAACAGCTCGCGAAGTGATTCCAAAGAAAAGTGTCGCTCGACGTCCTCGGCGGAGTCCACCACGCACGAAGAAAGTAATTGTTTGTGCGATTGACGCTGGAATATCTTCTCCTCAATCGAGCCAGTGGCGATGAAGCGGTAGACGAAGCAGTCCTTCTTCTGACCGTCACGCCAGACACGCGCTAAGGCTTGCTGGTCGGCCGCCGGATTCCAGTCGGGATCGAACAGAACCAGTCGATTCGCACCTATCAAGTTCAAACCACACCCACCCGCTTTGCTGCTGAGAAGGAACACAAATTCCTCGCCATCGGGGTTGTTGAACTTGTCGACGAGCTTTTGTCGTTTGTTCACGGTCATGGTACCGTCCAATCGCAGGGACCCATATCCCCGTGACCGGCAAAGCTTTTCGAAAAGATCCAATGTCTGCGTATAATTGCTAATCAAAACAATCTTGTCGTTCGTGTCCTGGCGGATACGTGCCAACATACGGTCCAAGACCATCATCTTGCCGGAATACCACGATTTGATATCCCTATCGCGTCCTCGTCCTTCGGGAGGAACATAGTCATCCGGAAATGCGTGTTCACAGCCTGGAAGGTCTGTGGATAGATTGAGGAGATCAGGATGGTTGCAGAGCTTCTTCAACAGTCCAATGGCCTTCAACGGCTGGCTCCCTTTACCCCTGAGCAAGCTCTTGATCTCCGGACTTTCAATGAAGTGATTGTAGAGGTCGAGTTGAAATTGGGACATGTTGCAGAATACGACATGCTCGTACTTGACCGGCAAATACTTCGACAGCAGCTCGTTCGTTCGGCGAATGATGAATTTATTCACGATGCCTGAAAGCTCAGCCAGCCGCTCATCTCCTTTCTTTCGATCTTCTTCTGAGCCCGCGGCATCTCTTCCTCGAAGAATTGGCAACTCGAACCTCTTTCTGAAGTCGTTCTGCGATCCCAGCAGGTTCGGATTCGCGAAATGGAGAAGTGAGAAATACTCCGACAGATCGTTCTGAATTGGGGTACCAGACAGGATCACCCGGCGTTGTACATTCAAGCTGTTGAGCGCAGTCCAGGTCAAACTCTCTTTGTTTTTCAGTCGGTGGCCTTCGTCGCATAGTAGTAATCCGATCGGGGTGTCCTTCAGTGTATCGACATACAAGCGCAGGGTCTCGTAAGAAATGATCAGACATGGTCTCACGACCGATCGTCCGGACGCGATGGCCCATTGTTTCATTTGAGCAATGAGCTCCGTCTTTGAGGCCTTGCCGTCGACTGCAAATGGAGTGGTTGCATCCTTGCCAAGCCATTTCCCTGCAAATATCATCAGTGTATGTGTTTTTTAATCATGACTTGTAACCTACCAAGCTCATTGGCCCAGTTTCCGACCAAACTGGATGGACACGCGATGATGCACTTTTGTATGGTCGTCTTCCCAGCCTCCGGGGATTGCTTGAGCAATGTCCACATCAATGAGATGCATTGCAGCTGCTATTATTAGTAGATGGAATTGAATTGTAGGCAATTATCATACCGTTTTACCCAAGCCCATGCCATCAGCCATAATGCACCCATTCGCGTTCTTGTCTACCATGCCGGTTGTACAGCGATAAAGGAACTACGTAAGAGTTCATCTTAGTCAAAGAAAGCGGCCCACCTCTCAACAAGACCGACACTTACCTTAACACCTTCCACCTGATGCGGCCGGAGAACCTTCGCCAGCCGTGGATCGATGACAACAGGGACCTTAGGTCTGTCTTCGACCTTCTTCTTGAGTCCGAGAATATCTGCCAAGCTCTTATGTACCAGCGGTTCGTCCAGTTGGGGCTTCTCACCCTCTGCCTCGCCTTGCGGTTCTTTGTTGGCCTCTGCTTCTTCGACATCGTCAACAGTCGGGTCGTAGAGTACTATCGCGAACTCGCCACTGGGGTCATGCAACGGTTTCACAACGAACGTAGCGCCTTGCCTCATCCCCAGCGTCGGGGCTGGTCGGGCACCAAAACTGTCAACCTGTTTGTTGATGAGAGGCACCTTGAATCTCTGTCGGAATGCTGTGTCCTTGTCCTTCGGTTTGAAGACGGGAAACCTATTCACGTCCCGGGTGGCGAGCGCGAGACGGTCCTCGTTTGTGTACGGCTTTTCACCCTCATCATTGCCTTCTCCGTCGGCCCCGGCATAGTTCACTTTCCGTCTCTTCCTCGCGGGCTTCTCTGATGTGCGGGTAGGGGTGGCCGATCCAGGGCATTTGAAGGGTCTCGAGAGCCGGTCGATGGAGCTCCCGGGAGTGCCGGGTTGGAGCTTCGCCGGCGTGCTCGTGGCATTCTCTTTGAGGACGGGGCGTGGGCGATACCTATGGATATTAGAAGAGTTGCGGAATAGCAGATAAAGATACCTTACATGGATGATACGTATCAACCTGTGTTTGAGGCCCTCTAACTGTCGCTTGGTCGCTGGTGGCGGTTGTTGTTTCGCCGAGTCTGTAGGACGCGCTCGCCACATCTTAGCGCGTTTGCCTACAGATTGCTGGACACCAAAGTATCGCGTGGTCACATGATCCTGTCAACAATGGACCGCTGCGGATTTTGGTAAACGTGCGAACTTGAGGCAAACTATACTGGCAGTAGAAGAATGCTACTAAATTTTCATCAAGAGCTACGCAGATCATGATGCCTCGGCGCCCATCAACTGGTTGGACTCGGTATCACCTATTCATGCTAAAGTGCACTAGTCCCTTCAGGTAAAACTAAAGCTGCGGACAGCATCAAATTGTTTTCGTAAGTTGATCAGTTGTCTAGCCATTTAAAATGGCTCCGATGAGTTGAGATTGTTATATCGGAGCTCAGTACGGAGTAGCTTATAGGGAATACCAATGGTGGCTCTCACTTTGCCCATTGGGCCGCTGCGGTGAACCTTGTGGCGTCGTCCTCATTTATAGCTTGAAAACGGAGTTTTATATTTCAGTGATACGTCGCAATAATGCCCAAAACAACAGCATGGAAGCAGTACAAGTACTTGAATTATATGCACAAAAATTGATCTGTAACGGTGGATGTGAAAATGCGGTGTGTTGCACAGAGGACAGGCACCTTTGAACTCACTAGCTTGGCGAGCTAAGTAGCGACACTACTAGGTAGCTGTCTCTGACTCCGGCTTCTTCTCATGGTTCCTATCTTGGGAGATGTCTATTCCGAGGCTTCAGCTTTAGACCAAACCCCGAGTGCAAAATACCCCGCAGAGACCTGTTAGTGCTAAGGACCTATCGAGTATAGTAAATTTCGGGTCGCTTCTTAGTGCGGGATGGTTTAGATAATATGTCCACGCCGCCTGTCAGTGATGACATAGCGATTGTGTACCAACTACGACGATTCACCGTTGCTGAAAGGCAGATTCCCTCCAATCGTATCACATATGATATGTCCGCCGACTTCTGGGCTGGCTACTTGAGCGGTGCTATTGGGATCATCATCGGCAACCCGCTTGACATTATCAAGGTTCGACTGCAGGCGGGACAGCATGCAGAAGTCGTTGCATCATCAACCACCCAGCAATTGAGCCGCCTGGAGAGCGTCACTTCTCTGGTGCGAGGTCTGTAAGCACGATGAATCCTGTTACTGTATGAACGAAACCGGGAACCCATGCTAATCATTGATTACAGGCTCCGCTGCTCCGATACTGGGCTATGGAGCCCTAAACGCTCTGCTCTTCGTGGCCTACAACCGGTCGTTGATGACCCTGGACACAGCCATTACAGACCCGACCTCACCCCAAGGGACGTCTCTGTACAAAGTGTGGCTCGCAGGTGCTGCAGGTGGACTAGCCAGCTGGACTGTATCGTCTCCCACAGAGTTTATCAAATGTCGAGCCCAACTGGACACCCGGCCCGGGATCTCCTCCTGGACCGTTGCCAAAGATATTATTAGTACCCGAGGCTGGAGGGGCCTATACTATGCAGGAGGAATCACTTGCGCCAGAGACGCCATTGGCTATGGGTTTTAGTATGCGATCTGCCTGCCCCGGATCTTCCCCCCGCCGTTACCCTCTTCGGCTCGTTGACAGGACGTACACTGACCTTACACCCACACCGCCACAGCTTCTGGTCTTACGAGTACTGTAAGCGTCTCATGAACTCCGAGGACGATACTACGAATCTGGCTGCATTGAAGATCCTCCTCTGCGGCGGCATTGCTGGCGTTGTCACCTGGGCGTCGGTCTTCCCTCTAGACGTGATCAAGACAAGACTGCAGGCTGGGACAATTGAAACATCTCAAGATCGCCCTCTTCTACCGTCTCGCATACAAACACGCGATGCAAGCTCAATTAAGGTTGCCAGAGAGGTCTACCAGACTGAAGGTCTGAAGGCCTTTTACCGCGGCCTCGGGGTGTGTAGCTTTAGGGCATTCATCGTGAATGCGGTTCAGGTATGTGAGATTGTCGCAAACGGCATATTGGACAACGCTGACAATCTGTACTTTAGTGGGCGACTTACGAATGGCTTATGAGATATCTACAAGAAGCCTGAACTTATACAAGAAGCTCGACTAAGGAGGAACAGGACAGCTCGATCGATCCCCCACGTTCTGTAATTAAAATTGCAGCTTGTAAATTATTCTTGCCCAAAGGGAGTCGGATCCGATCCGAGTGGGACCTAACTGTGCGACGCTCCGAGAACCGGCAGTTTGCAAGGGGGTCACCGCAAGACGGAAGCAGTGCGTTCGGCACAAAACTGGCGATTTTCGGCACCTGATGTTTTCACGTGCTTAGTGTGAGACTGGGCGAATCACGCGTCGGGCGACAAGCTTCGTCCGCAAACAGCCAATCATATCACTTTGGTGACAACGACAACGGCTGCAAATTTGCATTGATGCGGTAAAAATTTTTCGAGCCCATGAGAGGTCTGTCGCAGTACCGAAAGGGTCGTTTGCATGCAAGTCCAACCCGCTCTGCTTCACGTTGGCGATTTTGGAGCGAGGCTGATTGCTTGTGTAGAATCATTTGTAGATTTTTAATCTTCCATGGCCATCACGGTCTCTTCCTGCGCTCTCACGCCATTGTCGGTACCCAGGCCAACTGCGGCCTCCGCAGCTTTTTGCGAATGAGCTTCTTCGCGGATGATGCGTAGTCTATTTGGACCAGTTGAATTAGCACAAGAAGACGAGCATTGAGGCGATAGAGTTGTCACTCGCATCGCAAATCCGGGGGTAATCGGCGGAGCATATTTAGACCATTAACTAACCTTCTCTTGTGGTTCTTGCCCTTCTTATGGCCGACCAGGTTGAACTCGCTTTCAAACCATTTGGAGCATTCGACACAATAGTGTTGTCCTAGGCCGGGCAGGTCCTCCGGATCTTTGGTAGCTTTGTACTGTGTGAGATGCTTAGACGACTGGATATCAGCGCGGACTTGATCGTAGTCTCTAGACAAATACGAGGCAGGTTAGCCATGCACCTATGCGCAACGCATGCGGGAGTATCAAGAAGAAGCATCCTTACCTAGTCCTGCGCTTGGTCTTGATTTTCCTGACAGCACCCATATTTTTTTATTTTTGATATCACGACGGAGCCCCAAAATAGCGATAGTATGGAGTACCTAGCCTGACGGAATGCTCTCCAGTGATCGTGGTAGAGGCAGATAGTACCGATAAACGGAGAGAAACTAAAACCTTGGAGCGGGTCGCTGCCCTTGAAATTTCCGCCTTTGTGCGTGCGAGAAGAAATTCCTCAAACGTCTCGCACTTGATTGGGCGTAGGGGGCAAGGATCTTGGCGGCGGGCCGCGGGACTCCCATCGGCAGGCCTCGGCTCACGCTCGGCTCTCTGTCAGCAGCGAGCTGTTCGTACGGCCATTTCCCCGTGGTTTCCGTAATTTATGACGTTACTATGCGTTCGGCATGTTGCCGCCGGATGGAAACAGCCAGTCGTCCACTGGTGGTTCAGGTGAAATAATACACCGACCCAATAATGGCTTCTTGCGCCCACTTCCAAGTTCAAGTTACAGGTCCCCTCAGCAACAAGAAAGACACCGATGGAAAAGACGGTGCGGTAATTTTGAATGGTGTCTGGGCAATTCTGTACTTTTGCGATCATAGCAAAATATTTTATACCCTCCTTAATGGCGAGTGAAGACATCAATTCTACTAGAAGACATTGCAACAGGGTGACGTCGAAAGAATGTCCTTTGATGTAGCATATAATCCGGCACACATGATTGGGTCACCGCTGCCTCTCACATGCCCTGTGCACGAGCTGTGCGGGCGCTGGTGGCCGGTACTAGGTAAGTAATCAGCATTACAATCTTGTACTGTCAGAAACACTTCAATGACGGCCTCCCCGGAACCAGGACCGAAATAGTTAAGGTAGCCAGCCAGTGTTAGTAGCCAACGTACAAGGTAGAATAGCAACTCAATGAAGGGTCGTGGAGGAACATGGGGGTGGATTTCCGCGCATCCTCAAATCACGGATTTGACAGTCCGATTACGCCTCCAGGAGCAAAGACCACTGACAGTGAAGCGTTTTCGAATCGACGGGCAGCCTGCGGTTGGCCGGGTAAAGGCAAAGAAGTACATTATGGGTCCTTGAGGTGAAAGGGAGGTCTGCAAGTCTGAAAAGGTCGACCGGAATTTCACCAAAATTACCGTATGCTGACGGTAAGAAGGGGATATAACCAGCCACTTCCATCTCTCCGGTCGCACGCTACGAATGCGTACGGGACTCGTACTGTCAAGGAGCGGTTACGGGTCACGGCGCTGGCCCTCTTCTCCGGTTTAGTAAACCGCTGTCTGGCGGAAACAAGAATTCTTTCCCACTCAGAGAGCTTCCTTTTATCTACTCCATTTTCCCTTCTCTCTTACTTCTTCCTCTTCTTCTCCTCTTTCTCTCTTTCCCACTCCACTCTATCACACCTTTTTGGGTTGTCTCTCCTTGGATGTGTTGCGGCCTTGCCCACCTCGCATAGAGAGCTTCCATCATGATCTCCACAAGGCTTGCGCGCATGGGTGCGCTGGTAAGTTCTACCTGGACACGTACTCCTTATTCAGCGAGGCAGACAGACATCCTCTCTCAAGAACGAGAGGCGATGGCTGCCAGCTGATGTCTCCTCGGGCTCACGGAATACTGACTGAATTGTTTATAGGCCCCTAAGTCCCGTCTTGTAAGCCTTCGAGCCTTCCTTCAACCTTGAAGATCCCACAACTGCGATAGTTCTGGGACGAGGTGAAAATCCAGGAAGCTTTGGAATACTAATTATGAATTGTCTCAGTTCCTCGGGACCCGGGGTCTGGCTACCGTCAGCGACTCTCCCCTCGACAAGAAGGTCGAGATGACCAACCTCGAGAAGGTGAGTGGTGGATATCCCTCAATGAAAGCTTCCCGTGCCCTCGGCTGGCTTCGGGTATGCGAATACCGGATTTGGAGCACAATTTGCTAATAGGCGCTTCGCAGGGTAACTACATCAACTACAAGTACGCAAACACCATAGCAGCCTTCATCAACTCAAGATGCAACAAGCATTCGTATCGATGGAATCGCGTGCTAATGTCTTCTTTTTCATTTGTACAGGAAGATGTCCGAGAACCTCGACATTGTTCGTCGTCGCTTGAGCCGTCCTCTTACCTACGCCGAGAAGGTTCTGTACTCTCACCTTGACGACCCGCACGGTCAGGACATCGAGCGTGGTACCTCCTACCTCAAGCTGCGCCCCGACCGTGTTGCTTGCCAGGATGCGACCGCCCAGATGGCCATCCTTCAGTTCATGTCCGCTGGCATGCCCTCCGTCGCTACCCCCACCACTGTCCACTGTGACCACTTGATTGAGGCTCAGCTTGGTGGTGACAAGGATCTTGCCCGCGCCAACGAGATCAACAAGGAAGTCTACGACTTCTTGGCCTCCTCCACCGCCAAGTACAACATTGGTTTCTGGAAGCCCGGTTCCGGTATCATTCACCAGATCGTCCTTGAGAACTATGCCTTCCCCGGTGGTCTGATGATCGGTACCGACTCTCACACTCCTAACGCTGGTGGTCTTGCTATTGCTGCCATTGGTGTCGGTGGTGCTGATGCTGTCGATGTCATGGCTGGTCTTCCTTGGGAGCTGAAGGCCCCCAAGGTCATCGGTGTTAAGCTGACCGGTGAGATGTCCGGCTGGACTACCCCCAAGGGTAAGTATTTGCATGTCAATTCTAAATGTTTTGGACCATCAGCTCACCGGTTCGTACAGATATCATCCTCAAGGTCGCCGGTCTCCTCACTGTCAAGGGTGGTACTGGTGCTATCATTGAGTATCACGGTCCTGGTGTCAACTCCCTGTCCTGCACTGGTATGGCCACCATCTGTAACATGGGTGCTGAAATCGGTGCCACCACCTCTCTCTTCCCCTTCAACGACCGCATGTACGACTACTTGAAGGCCACCAAGCGTACGCAGATCGGTGACTTCGCCAGAAGCTACGCTAAGGAGCTCCGCGAGGATGAGGGTGCTGAGTACGACCAGCTGATTGAGATCAACCTGTCCGAGCTCGAGCCCCACGTCAACGGTCCCTTCACCCCTGACTTGGCTACCCCCATCTCCAAGTTCAAGGAGGCTGTTGAGACCAACAAGTGGCCCGAGGAGCTCAAGGTCGGTCTTATCGGCTCTTGCACCAACTCTTCCTACGAGGATATGTCCCGTGCCGCCTCCATCGCCCGCGATGCTCTCGACCACGGCTTGAAGTCCAAGTCTATCTTCACCATCACTCCTGGTTCCGAGCAGATCCGTGCCACCATTGAGCGTGACGGTCAGCTCCAGACTCTTGAGGAGTACGGTGGTGTCATCCTTGCCAACGCTTGCGGTCCCTGCATTGGTCAGTGGGATCGTCGCGACATCAAGAAGGGCGAGGCCAACTCCATCATCTCTTCCTACAACCGTAACTTCACTGGTCGTAACGATGCCAACCCCGCCACCCACGCCTTCGTTGCCTCTCCCGACCTTGTCGTTGCCATGACCGTTGCCGGTACCCTCAAGTTCAACCCCCTCACCGACAAGCTCAAGGACAAGGACGGTAACGAGTTCTTGCTCAAGGCTCCCTCCGGCGAGGGTCTCCCCGCCCAGGGCTACGACCCCGGCCGTGACACCTACCAGGCTCCTCCCAAGGACCGTGAGTCTGTTGCCGTCGCTGTCTCCCCCGAGAGTGACCGTCTCCAGCTCCTTGCTGGCTTCGAGAAGTGGGATGGCAAGGATGCCACCGGTATCCCTATCCTGATCAAGTGCCAGGGTAAGACCACCACCGACCACATCTCCATGGCTGGCCCATGGTTGAAGTACCGTGGACACCTTGACAACATCTCCAACAACATGTTGATTGGTGCCATCAACGCCGAGAACGGTGAGGCCAACAAGATCAAGAACGCCTTCACAGGTGAATACGATGCCGTCCCCGCCACTGCCCGTGACTACAAGGCCCGTGGTGTTAAGTGGGTCGTCATTGGTGACTGGAACTACGGTGAGGGTTCCTCCCGTGAGCACGCCGCTCTGGAGCCCCGCCACCTTGGTGGTCTTGCCATCATTACCCGCTCCTTCGCCCGTATCCACGAGACCAACCTCAAGAAGCAGGGTATGCTTCCCTTGACCTTCTCCGACCCCGCCGACTACGACAAGATCAAGCCCGATGACAAGGTTGACCTCCTCTGCACTGAGCTCGAGGTTGGCAAGCCCATGACTCTCCGCGTCCACCCCAAGGATGGTCCTTCTTTCGATGTCAAGCTCAGCCACACCTTCAACGAGTCCCAGATCGAGTGGTTCAAGGATGGTTCTGCCCTGAACACCATGGCCCGCAAGGCTGGCAAGGCTTAAATTGCTAGTCATCTAAACAACTCGACAAGAGTGGGCCTAGGGCCACGATGAGCGACCAGCTCATCTGTAAACTACAAATATGGTTTCTGTCCGCTGAGATGAAACATGATGATACCTCCAAGAGACTTGTTCAGGGTCTCGGTGGATATTGCCGAGCAGCGGGGAAGCGGCTGCTGGCTGGAAGATGCGGAGTGGTGATCCGAAAAATCTAACGAATTGTTTCTGCCATCAGGGCCTGGTTTCATTTGTACCCTTCAGATTTTAGGGTGGACTACATGGATATACTCTTTTTGTTTTGTTTTATATCATACACTGTATGTTAGGGACTGCGTGCATACCATTTTTCCTTCTGTTCCAATTGTGCATTTATGTAACTCGACTTTCTTGGTCACTGTGCCCTCGTAATCCAGACCCGGCAACCTACGCTCGCGTGCCATTGATGCGTTCTCTGAATATGCCGCTTGGTATAACAGGGGAACGTGATGCCGACGAGGCCGAGGCCAGCGGCCAGCACAGCGCACCCCACTTCGGTAGGTAACCGTTGAGTAGTAAGCCGTGTATATGTACATTTAATGATCAACCCTGCCCCATCCATATGATTTACTCCATCTTGGTCATAGTCGTGCATTGTGTCCAGTCTATCAACGATCAGAAAGTGCCACACACACTCGCACGTGACGTGCATATCTCCGTTATCCTCGAGGTCTCCCCCGATTTCATTGACTCCGCGCTTGCGGGCGACGATCCGTCAATAGTCAGACTCTAGGGCATACTTGCAGAACTAGTTTCACCATCAGGCGCGGAGATCACGTCTTCCAAAGTGAGTAGCAGCGATTCTGCTTTCATAAG